TAGAAATAGTCCTGATAATTCTAAACAAATGGAAAGGTTGGTAAGAGAAAACTTGAATCAGTAATGCATATTGCCAGGATTGAAATGAGTCTTTCAACCTCCTCGAAACATCTAACTCTTATAAATTAATAACCTGGCATGGCTTCCTTCGAGCACAAAAAGGACCAAGAAATTGTGTTGTTTATACATTGTCTTTTAAGTGTCTGATCATGGCCACTTCAGAGGGCTATTATACAGGGCTCCTGGCAATACAACTGCAACTGTGGAAGTAGGGATTTTAAGTTCTTTAGAGTTGTGAGGATTCTTTCCTAGACTTCTTATCAGTATATTCCACAGGTGCATGCTTTTTGTGTTTGATGCAGATACTTGGACAATCTGAACAAAGTGGTGGCAAAAAGAATTCCTCCCATTTAGAATGGATAGTTTACTTGAGGGACAGTCAGTTTCACCTTAAGCTTAAAATCCCAAACTGTAGTGATAACTGAGGTGCAACTTGCATTGATCCAAGACTTTATTGTTTTTTAGGCACCATTAGATACTCGACTTACATTTACTTCCTTGAATATATACAGACTGTCATCGTGGGCCTTAAGCAGATGAGGAAACTGGGGTGCAGAAAACACTGCTACAAAGTAGAAAACCACAAATTTGCATAGAGTGATCTGACTCTGAAACTTAGCCCTGCCCCTCACCGTCTCTTACTGTCTATCTCTATTCATACCTTTAAGAGTGAACTGCCTTGTATTTGCAAATAAGTGACATTTCAAATCCTAAAAGATGATGCTGTGAAAGTGCTGCACTCAATATGCCAGCAAATTTGGAAAACTCAGCAATGGCCACAGGACTGGAAAAGGTCAGTTTTCATTCCAATCCCAAAGAAGAGCAATGCCGAAGAATGGTCAAACTACCGCACAATTGCACTCCTCTCACACACTAGTAAAATAATGCTCAAAATTCTCCAAGCCAGGCTTCAACAGTATGTGAACCATGAACTTCCACATGTTCAAGCTGGATTTAGAAAAGGCAGAGAAACCAGAGATCAAATTGCCAACATCTGTTGGATCATCAAAAAAGCAAGAAAGTTCCAGAAATACATCTACTTCTGCTTTATTGACTATGCCAAAGCCTCTGACTATGTGGATCACAACAAACTATGGAAAATTCTTCAAGAGATGGGAATAGCAGACCACCTTACCTGCCTCCTGAGAAATCTGTATGCAGGTCAAGAAGCAATAGTTAGAACTAGATGTGGAACAACAGACTGGATCCAAATCGGGAAAGGAGTACATAAAGGCTGTATGCTGTCACGCTGCTTATTTAACTTATATGCAGAGTACATCATGTGAAATGCTGGCTGGATGAGGCACAAACTGGAATCAAGACTGCTGGGAGAAATATCAATACCTCAACTACACAAATGACACCACCATGATGGATGAAAGTAAAGAAGAGCTAAAGATGAAAATGAAAATGAAAGAGGAGAGAGAAAAAGTTGGCTTAAAATTCAACATTCAGAAAACTAAGATCATTGCATCGGGCCCCATTACTTCATGGAAAATAGATGGGGAAACAATGGAAACAGTGAGAGACTTTATTTTCTTGGGCTTTAAAATCACTGCAGATGGTGACAGCAGTCACGAAATTAGAAGATGCTTGCTCCTTGGAAGAAAAACTATGACCAACCTAGACAGCCTATTAAAAAGCAGAGACATTACTTTGCTGACAAAGGTCTGTATAGTCAAAGCCATAATTTTTCCAGTAGTCGTGTATGGATGTGAGAGTTGGACTATAAAGAAAGCTGAGTGCCAAAGGATTGATGCTTTTGAATTGTGGTGTTGGAGGACTCTTGAGAGTCCCTTGGACTGCAAGGAGATCTAGTCAGTCAGTCCTAAAGGAAATCAATCCTGGATAGTCATTGGAAGGGCTGATGCTGAAGCTGAAACTCCAATACTTTGGCCACCTGATGCGAAGAACTGATTCATTGGAAAAGACCCTGATGCTGGGAAAGATTGAAGGCAGGAGGAGAAGCAGACAACAGGGGATGAGACTAAACTGAACTCATATGATTGCTTTGCCCTTACAAGAAGGCAGTAGCTTCTGGATAAAATAGAAAAGCAATGACTTGAAGTGGTACCAAGAAAAAATGATTCTACACCAGTTACTCTACAGATGTTGGTCTTTGGGAGGAAAATCTAAACCTCCTTCCTTCAGATGATCCTCTAGTTTGCTGCTTCTTTTTATATAATGCCAATGTTGGTAAAGAACTGCCAGTGTGGGAGACCTGGGCTCTATCTTTGGGTTGGGAACAGCTACCCAATCCAGTATTCTGGCCTGGGGAGGTCCATGGACAGTGTAGTCCATAGTCCACGGGGTCGCAAAGAGCCGCCCACAACTGAGTGACTTTCACTTGATAATTCACTAATTTTCATTTTGCTGTAAAACAGTTTCATCAACACAACATGGTACTCATAATTTGGATGCCTTTTGAAAAAGCAATTGGAAAGTAAATGGGCCCTTCCTAACTATTCAATATTTCAATGACTTGTGATTGTGGAAATGGATTATTTGCTGTACCCAGCAATTGTTGTTTAGTCACTGAGTCATGTCTGAGTGTTTGCGACCCCATGAACTGTAGCCAATCAGAATTCTCTGTCCATAGGGATTTCTCAGGCAAGAATACTGGAGTGAGTTGCTATTTCCTTCTCCAGGGGATCTTCCCTACCTGGGAATTGAACCCACGTCTCCTGCATTTGCAGGTGGATACTTTACCGCTGAGCCACCAGGGAAGTTCTCATTATTTGATCAGTTAATATAAAGTTTAGGGCTTGAACCCAAGTTGGAAAATAAAGCTTTGGCTTTGGCAGTGTGATTTTGCCTGTTAAGGTGAAACTATAAGAAGGAATTAGAAGGAGATGGGAGAGCAGTGGAGATGACAACACCTTTCAGCACAGGCAACCTGATCACCTTTGGGGATACAGAGGGAAATCAGTGCCTGTCTTGAAGGAGCTTTCAGTCCACTTGAGGAGGTGGAGGAGCACCACCAGGAAAGCATTGCAGGGAAAAGACTCAGTGTTCAATTTGGTGCTATGTCGTTTCCCCTGGGATCTCCATCATCATGGGATTCAGGGTGGAAAAAACAAGTCCAGATCAAAATGCCTGATCTTTCTAACTTCTCCTCCTTTTCTAACAGTGTCTGAAAAGAGGAAATAACAATGCAGTTCTTGCTCCAAAAGGTCTTTGGTTTCAGCGAGATTCTGAACCTAGCATTTCACCTTCTGTTCTTTTCTTTGGAAGCACACAGGGACCACTTGTATGTATGATCTTGTGTGGACAACTTTTCCTTTGTAGAACTTACTCTCAGTGGAGCGTGACATCTGATTCCTTCATGAGGGTGCCTTAAGTCATATCCTGATGTTGTATCCTCCCAGGTGTCAGGAGACTTGGAGTTGAGTGCATTGCCCCTCCACTGCCTTTATTTTCCCCACTCAGTTCCTCAGTCCCTCCATAGTTCAAGGAAGAAAGAGTGTGACAGTTCATTTAGGAAAATCTAGTTTAAACTCCCCAATTCCTCCCTTACCACTGTGTGAAGTTGGGCAAATCCTTGGTCACTATAGGCCTCAGTGATGTCACTATAAACTGGAACATCAGTGACCACTCACATGTTTGAACTCAAGAGTAAATGAGGTTTCTCTGAACACTTGGCTCACAGAAATCACCCAGGATTAAGTTCTTTTCTCCTTCTTCTTTTACTTACTAAAGCTAAAACCCTGTTTCTTGCCATCGACATACCTGTAGGACCATTTTGATTTATCTTCTGCTGCTTTGCAGAAGGCCCAGAGCCTTGTATGTATAGGAAAGAAAATAATCGCACTTTACAAAAAATAGAAATTTCCATCAAAGGAAAAATACTTTCCAAAGATAGAATTTTCTGTAAAATCTCAGAACTTTTATCAGTATAGTAAACCTTTTTGAGATAAGGAATATGATTTAATATAGTGTTTCCTTTTGCTGTGCCACATTAAAAAATTGTAGGAAACACTTGTTTTCTTTTGATTTATTATCAAGTGGCATTATATGTGGTTGATTTGGGTGTTGGACCAGCTCATTCCTTCAAAATCCCATAAAAAAGAAAAAATTAACAAGAGGATGAAGAAAAAAAAAAAAACCAGATTCCTCCTTTCTAATGATGAGATAAAAATGCCATCTTTCTGTGTGGTTTTTGTGACACTGTACCTGCAGCTGATGAACTAGAACCTTTGGAAACTTGCTAAAGATACTCTTTGGCTTTTTAGATCCTAAAACACTGAGAACCAGAAAGCTTTTTCTTTGTTTGTTTGTTTTTTTTTTTAGTCATAAGAATATCAACATGCTCACCTTCCCAAATCTTTGTTCATCTGTGTTGCATACTACATGGGAGGTTACACTTACCTCGTAGAAGTGTAACATTTATAAATATCTTGGCTTGCCTTAAAGCAATAAGTAATCTCTCTTTTCTCCTCTTTTAAATCATTGGGAGTTTTCCAGTTTCTTGGGTTTAAGACCTAGCAACATCTTTTCTACAGAGTTTTGTTAAATTAAAAAAAAAAAAAGAGTTGAATTTCCCAGCCATTCTCTGTTGTTTATTCCCTTATTAGAAATTGTATGTATGTGTGTGCTTTTGCATGTTTATGACCAGTTATATCATTCTAGTGTCCCAATGCCATATAAACTTCTGCATAACATGCTCCCCCATTTTCTTTGAAATTCTCTATTATCATTTTCCCATATGATACATTCACATTTTTAGGGATGGATTTGGTCCATCGTTTATTTTTGCCTCCCTAGAACTTTTCAAAACTGGACCCTTGAAAAGCATTGTATGATGATTTTACTAAACCTCTTCTATGAACTTGTACACCTGCTAGGTAAGAGGAAGCTGTTCTTACAGTCCTTTGTGCCTTCCTGAGATGTCACAGACACCATTAGGCTTGCAGTGCGTGCAGCTTAGAAATCTGGGAAGGTGCTTGGACAGAAGAAAAGCAGTTGACTCTCAGCTTTACTTTGCTGTTTTAACCATTATTAGATATTTGGGATACACAGTGAATACTTTAGGTGGATCATTTGAAACACGCTTTAACATCTATAATCTGGAAATGGATATTTCCATGTGGTCACTCGCATTAACACCAAATCCTGGGTATTAAATGGTTAGTCTAATTGCTCCTGTCAGCTTTTCCACTGTTCTACTTTGAATCAGGAAAAGTTTCATTATTTTGTAGATGAATTCAGATTAGATTTATTCCAAGTAGAGCAAAATTGGGTTCCTATATTAGAAGATGACTTCAGCTCCCCTTTCACTATGATGGGAGCTCTGATTTACATAGCTCATTTCCTCCCATTGTAAAATGTGTTTACATGACATTTGTTTTGTTTTGATTTAATGTGGTTTTTCCTTGTAAGAGTTCTAGAGAGGACAATCTCTCATTAAGGTAGCAAATGATGACTTTTTTCCCTCCACAGTCGTTCTTGCAAATAAATCCCAAGAGACTGAGAAATAACATAAACAAGCACAAAAAGTCTCCAGTAATATTTAACAGTACTGAAGACCTTTGAGATTTTTGTCTATGGTGGACAGAGCTAAGAAAGGGGTAACCAAACCAAAAAAGCTGGAAAATCCTGATATTCACAATATATCATAATATTCATATACCAGAAAGCCTATCACAAGAAAAACAAAAAACAAAAAACCTCTGGGTCACATGTGGAAAATTGAAGTTTCTGTATGGGAGACTAGTTCTGCATGTTCTGCATGTCTAAGATCTCAGCCTTCCACAGTCACACTTGAACGGTAGGTAGTTTTCAAAGTTTGCCTAAGTATAGCTAACATATTTAAGTAGTGAAAAGCTGGGAAGAATTTTAATGCTCATGCTCTATCATCGTTATCATCAATATTAATTTAATGTTTCTCAAAGGATTACGCAGCATACTGCTCTTGCTATAGAAGTGCCTAATACCCTTAGATACTAAACATTTTCTATCAGACAGTTATAGTTTTGTGGGAACATGATAAGATTGTGTAGCAGTTGACTTTAGTAGATAATTTTATAAGATTATGCCTTGATTCTACTGCATGTATTTAGATGTATTGCAAGTATTATAAATGTAACATAAATATATTTGTATATTTATAGTACTTTATATATATATGTTGTCCCATATATCTATATCAACAAATATATATATATATATTTCACATTAAATATGCCAACATTTTCAACCACATGTGTGGATCAAAGACTTTTTGCCAATTCTAATACCAGCCAAAACCTCAAATCCATTAGCTTCTTGGATCAAAAGTACTCATTTAACCAATAACCTTAAAACCCATATAATATTCTACATGCCTGGAGCCAGTTTTATAGTTAGACCTCAATAAGGTTACCTTTATAACTTCCTGGAAAAATAACTTAGGACAGTTGGGATGATAAAACTCAAGCAGCAGAGAATCTTAAATTGTCACTGAGCTCCATCAAAGCTTATTCGCCCTCCGTCTTGCCCTCATTAACATCCTGTACTAAACTAGATCTCGGCACTCGTCATGTTCCATTACTGTGACTTTTTCTTCCCGTTCTCTCTCCAAATCCACATATTACTCTCCTTTGCTGTTACATGCTCCCAGTCCTAGCAGGGTTCCCGACTCATACAGAGCTCGGTCAGTAGTTACTGAGTGAAGCCTAGGTGAAAATAGCATCATAAGGTCCTTCCACTACTACCAGTGATATTCTTTTGGACTTGGCCCCCAAACTCAAGGTATCTTATGACAGATTACATTAAAAGGGAGTGACTAAATAGCCATTAGCTGCAGCTGCCGTGTATAGAAAGCCAGACCATTTGAATTTTGCTCTAGTTTTAGTTTGTTTGTGTGGTTTTTGTCATTTCCCGTCTACCCATTTATCCATTTTAAAGAATGATGTTTATGTTACTTTGTCTGTTACAGTGTAGATTTGTTGATGAATGTGTGAATGCCTTCTTGAAGTTTTATGATGCACTCTTTGTGAAATCTGTGCCCCATTCTGGTGTATTTAACTATCGTCTTAGTTCAGACTGCTGTAACAGAAAACCATAGACTCAGTATGTGTCTGTTGCTCAGTTGTGTCTGACTGTTTGCGACCCTGTGGACTGTAGATGGCCAGGCCCCTCTGTCCATGGGGTTTTCCAGGCAAGAACACTGGAGTGGGTTGCCATTTCCTTCTCCAGACCATAGACTAGGTATCCTACAAAAAAAACAAATTTATTTCTTACGGTTTTGGAGGCTGAGTTCAAGACGGAGGTGCTGGCAGGTTTGGAGTGTGGGGAGGGCTCACCTCCCGGTTCACAGATGGCCGTCTTCTCAGTGTGACCACGTGGCTGATGGGACAAGGGGTCTCCCTGGGTCTCTCTTAAATTACTAATCCCACGCATGAGGGCTCTTCTCTCATGGCCTAGGTACTCTCCAAGGCCCAAACTCCTCAAACTCTGATGGTTAGGATTTCAACATATGGGGAGAGGAGAATTTAAAAAAAAATCAGTCTGTTGAAAACATTCAGGTTGGATTCTTTTTCCCAGCTACCCTTACAACCAGGCTCTGATTTGAGCCCCCACTTCCCCCTACTTTTGATTCTTTTCTATCTCCCACTCAGTCCCAGCGAAAAGATCCTCATAGAGCAACTGAACATACCCTGAACATCTGCAGATATAAGGGCACATGAAGCTACTAGAGTGTAAAGACCAGTGAGGGAGCAGAGATGGAATTTATGGATAATGCTGAAAATAACAGCAACACGTGGTGACCAAACCCAAGCTTGGGCAGAAATGTAGCACGGATAGCTGTGGGTGTCCCTGCTTGGGAAGGTGAGGTTTAGCAGTCCATCTGCGGACATGTTGGTAGGCAGTACAATCTTATATTTACTACATTGTCCCAAAATATAAAGTTCTTTATCCTAAAGACTGTGTTGCCTGCATTGCAGGCAGATTCTTTACTGTCTCACACAAGGGAAGCCTGTCTAAAGAAGTAAGAAACCATAAAGAACAAAATGTGTGCATTGTTCAAAGTAATTATTTAAAATTCACTGAATACTGTGTATAATAAACTGGTAAGCTGTCAAAACAGATTAGAAACCCTTACTCCAAAGGACAAAATGACTAAGATGTGTATTAAATTAATCAAAATATTATTATATGTGATTAGCATGATTAGCTCTTTAAACTATGCAAAATAATTTGGTAAAACTACATATTTCACCAAAATGACTTTTGCAGAAAATGGTGGTAAAAATGCTTTGAAAACTGTGGCTGACTTACCTATACAGTAATTATCTAACTTTTATTCTACTTTGAAAATACGAGCAAAAGATATTTTCAGTGCTAACATTTTAAATTATTGAAGCTTATAGTAAGAGAACGTTTTCTGCATCTAGCACATGTTATTTAGCAAACATCTGTCAGGATAGATTCCTGTCATTAGATACAAATTACTTTTCAAAATTAATAGTTAGCTTTTAAGTCTCAGGTAAATTAAAGAGTGAAAGCAACTAATAAGCTTTTAGCAAGGATGTTATTGTGAGGAGGGGCACCTGTTTAACCTTGAATGTCAGCAGTAGGAACAACCCGGTAGCTATAAAAAAGCAGCCCTGGGAATTTTTGAAAGGGTTCCATTTTCCCTGTTGAGAAACATATGGAAATTGTGCACCCTTGCTCAAAGTGAAATTGGTAAATTGGAATCACTGTAATAAGAAACAGCTCATCTTTGAATGTGTCAGTGGTGAATACACGATTCACACACATAATTTGCCCATCGTGTATTCTTTTTCCCTCTTTCTGTCTCTTCCTCTATTCAGATTCACTTTTCTTTATCAGCAAAGGAAGGTTTGCCAAACATTTGTGAATGCATTCTTCTGTTCTTTTGCCTGCTTAGATGAGGATGACCAATGACTTGGGGGAAAATGGAGTTGGGGAAATTGATGTGTTTAAACAGCAACAATCAGTCACCATACTTGATTGTCCATTGTGCACCCTTGTTAAGCAAGTGGGATGCCTCGTTGTTCTGAAATACACTACCTCGGGGTTATCCTTGTGACTCCCTCACTGGCCGCTCTAGTGGAGGCCTTAATAATGCAGCCATCACCCTTGGATCTCAGTGTTTCCTGGGCCTGTCTTTGTCTTTAAAAGAACAATGTCAATGCCTCTGCCTCATGGGGCAAAAAAAAAAAAAAAAATCTTGGCCGCTTAGGTCTTATCTACTGGGACTTGATCCAGCCATCAGTTCCTGTAGATCAGTTCCCTGTCCTGCCCTACTGTCTCTGAGTTTGGGTGTCTGCATCCCACTATACTTCTGTTTTTAGTATATTCCTGCCTGGACCCATTCCTATGCCTTCATCTCCCACCCGTATCTTGACCTATTTTCTGTTCTAATCTTAGCACTTTTGAGTGTATTTCTCCCCTTTCTCCTCACCCCCTAATCTGCTACTGCTTACCCTATAGTATAATATGTGATTACCTGTGATGGAGCTGCCAAAAATATGCTTGTTTTTTATGGCATTTAACAGTATAGTTGAAATAAAAGGTATTATTAAATCAGAATTTATACCTCTGACCTGTAAGTGTACACCTTAATTTTGACAACATTGTGATTGAAGAAGCACTCTGACTCCAGGAAAGTTACAAGTAAAGTATAGAATGCTTAGATGTGAAGAAATGTGGTGATACAGGTCCTTTTATTGATATTTTTAAAGGAGAGCTCTAAAGAATCCAGAAATGAGGAAAAATTAAGACTTGGAAGGGGAGGTATATTAGAGACAAGATCTGGAACCTGGCTAGCCCAGAATAATTTTTATTAAATTATCTAATAATAAAAAGCTCATTTATTTTTCAGGATAGGTATTACTAGGAGCAAAGTTTAGCTTGTTTTCAGTTTCTTGGATTATGCCAACTAAACTTTTGTTTAATAACAGAGAGTTGGTTCAGACATTTGTTCATAGACTGACTTCAATCCAGGGCTGTTTATCCTCAAAAGGAACAACTTTTAGAAAGAAAACAGATCCAAGAAAGAGACTATTTAATATAATAATTAAATACACCCATGGTACAGTCGCACAGGCTAACCTAGTGCTGCCTTTTGTATATGAGATGGACTATGCTGGCCTAAAATGAATATTATTTGTTTTATTTA